TCTCAAAATAAATAAAAATTGACATCAAAACATCTTAATAATAAATAAATAAATAAAACAATCATATTATCTTTCACATTGTCATATTGTACAATATTATCCAATAATAAAAAGCATTATTATCGTGTTTTGCTTTGCATTATTGAGGAAGGCATTTTTTTTTTTTTTTTTTGGCAATGGACTAATGGAGGAAAAAAAAAAAGATCAAATGTAATGCAAACGTGCTGACTCCACTTTTCACTGGAAGTGGAAACTATAAGTAAAAAGTTGAAAAAAAAAGAGAAAATAATATAATCAATATGGAGGAAGCCGCCACCCCAATTAACCCATTTGTCAAAAGTAAAAGGGTTAATGCCATTTATCGTCCCTCTACTATCAAAAATAGCGCAATCTAAACCTTCTACTATAGATTGGCATCATGTCGTCCCTCTACTATCAATTAACTCCACCAGTCGTCCCTCTACAATGCTAAAACATGTTAATGTCATCTCTCTGTCCAATGCAAACTATCGGTATTGTTTATTCTATTGACTGTTAAGTACAATGGCCACACCAGTTAGACCTTTTTAAAATTTTTTTTGCCACCTTACCTTGTGGCCCCTGCTCTTGCCACATCATCTCCAATTGGTACGAGGCTTTTTCATAAGACCAAGTAGCTATTTGCTACATTGATGGGACGACCATAATCTAGTCATATAGTAGGACAAAATCATTTATAAACAATTTCTTTGCAGCCTTTTCTTTTGCATCAAAGATATTACTTTATAGCTAAAATTGTTAATAACTTAATACTGTTGAGTTTATGGTAATTAATAATTTTTTAATAGTTAGTTATAATATTTAAAAATAATTATTTAAATTTACCTTTTTTTATACAAAAGAAAAGCATGAACATGTATCGAAATATTTATTTTGACAAATACATAAAAATTGAAAAAAAATTACCAGAAAAGTAAAAGCTAAATAAAATATTCATTAAGTGAATAAAAATAATTGTTAGGTTGGTACATAAGGTGCAATTGTTGCCAATGACTTAAGTATATAGTTCAATGGTAATTTATTTTTAGTAAATTTAAAAGATTTTAAGTTTAAATCACATAATATGTAAATAAAATGGATTTAAAAAAAAAGGTTATCTCCAATTGTTTATTCAAAAAAAAGATTTAAACATAATCTTTTATATAATCGTATGTATCATTTAATGATTTATTTTAATTTTCATTCAAAGTTCATTGAAATATAGTATACATCCATTGAGATATGATAGTAGGGAATAAAGTTATGGTCATTGTTAATTTTATTAGGACTATTAAAATTATTAAA